GGTCACATAGATAATCCATGATTTTATTTATTTGGTGTTGTGTTTGCGACCAAATTCTTGAAATATCTCCTCATGTATCGTCTCATGTGCATTTTCACGATTAATTGCGCATTTCGGTCGTATTGTTCGATCGCAAATTTTAATACTTGGTCGGCATTTTCGAAATCCAATTTGGTTTCGATGTCGTTTTCGATGAGAAAATCACGAAATTCATTGTCCAATATGTATGCTGGTGTATGGAGTGGGGTTTTTTCAGTGCTCTGAAATATTTGTTTGCATTGAATTTGGCCAAAAATTCACGACGAATTTCGACATCGGAACCATTGTCAACCAACCGATTCAATATGAAGTGCACATAAAGCGATGCCAATTTGAACATTCTCGAGGAATTGACCACAGCTCGTTCAATTAAATCAGTCAGACGTTGTTTGTCTGGGAAAACTTTTTGTTCTAGGTCTTTATTTGTTGTTTCACCTCGTTTTGCTCTCATTTCATTTTGGCGTTTCAATGGCTTTTTTGTCGTTGTCGTTGTAGCTGCTGTTGTTGATGCGGCTGCCACTGCCGATGTCGATGTGGATGGCTGTGGATTGGCATTTGGTGCATTCAGTGGCACTTGATTCACATTTGATGTTGGTCTCCTTCTCTTTGGTCGATCAAATCCCGCTTCCTTAATTTCTTCATCATCTTGATTATGTTATTCATGGCATCACCTACGGTGAGATCTTTCAACCGTAAGTGCAGCAGTGTTCAATGCACCATTTTACAGCGCGATTGATTGATTTATGTATTATTTATAGGCCGCTAGCACTGTCGGAGAATTTGACTTGGAATGCATGTCGAATTGATTTTGGTAAATCGATGGGCAATCAAAGGGGAAAAAGATGATGAAGAAATTAAGGAAGCGGATCGATTCAATGCCAATCTATGGCCATCGGATTCAGTCTGTCGACAAACTACGTTGTGTATGTACTATATGTATTTCATTACTCTCCAATTCCTGATGAATTCCTTCGATTCTGTTCCATTATCGTCATTCACATTAATTCTATAATATGTGCAATGCGATTTTTCAAATGACAATGTCGATGCGACGATGATGATAATGGAAACAGAAATGTATGTGCGATAGAAACACAGAGTGTGTGTGTGTGTATTTGTCTGGCCGAATGAATGCATGAGTGAGTGAGTGAGTTGAGAAACCATTGGGAATGTAAGAAACTATATAGTCTGAACACACACAAACGCACACACATTGGAAAAAAACAAATTGCTGACAAATATTTTTGATTTGTTGTGTAGTGGAGAGATGAGCCGGGGTGTTCACACAACAACATTAGAGCAACGTCACAGCGACATTACATTGGGCAGCAAATGTACGAACATACGAGAACAGTAACACACACACACAAAGAGATGGAGAGAGAGAGACATTTTGGTGAGTAGATTTGAATACTGCAGTGGTGATGGTGTTTGATAAATTTGTATGTATATTATTTTAGCCAGCCAGTGAAAAACAAGATGTGTACAGTTTGCCGCAGAAGGATTGAAATTTTAACAAATGAAATGGCATCACACACACACACACTCACCAAGGCACAACGAATGCTGTCACTAATGCTAACAATACGTTCGATTGTTTTCTAGATTGAGTAAAACAACATACCGTTATCGGCTTTTGGCATGTGCAAACATGAAAATAGAACTATACGGTGCTAGTAGCCATAGCAAAGTGAAATACGCATCAGCCGCAGACATTGAACAACAATTGAAGTGATCGGACGCATACATTGTTTTCGATACAATTTGATTTTAAAACATTTATTATTTAGAAAATCATCGACACAAAAGTTTTGTTTAAAGTGTGCTTACAACACAAATTTTTTTTATAGCATCGAACGCTCGCATTTCCTGAAGTTTTTTTCCGTTCGTTTGTCACAGCAAAGTACAGTGATTGAAATTGGTCAAAGCCAATGTGAAACGGGAGACCAATTTTCGAATTGCGCATGAATTTAACGGGAAAAAAAGTCAAAATCAAATTCAAATTTTGTAGCAACACGAACCAAAAGGTATGAATAATTACAAATATTAAATTTGTCATAATTTTGTTGATATTCAAAGTGATATATGAATTTAATTGTGATCAATTTGTTGCAGTACTACGCAATAGTGCTAACAATACGTTCGAACAAAACAACAAACCGTTAACGGCTTTGTGCATGTGCATTGTGCAAACATGAAATTAGACATATAGTACTAGTAGCCATAGCAAAGTGAAATACGCATCAGCCGCAGACATTGATTGAACAACAATTGAAGTGATCGGACGCAAACATTATTTTCGATACAATTTGATTTTAAAACATTTATTATTCGGTAAAAATCGACAAAAAAGTTTTGTTTTAAGTGTACTGACAACACAAATTTTTTTTAGTATCGAACGCTCGCATTTTCTTGGGGTGTTTTTTCCGTTCGTTTGTCACAGCAAAGTACAGTAATTTTGCGTGTTTGCTTTTAAAATTGGCCAGAGCCCTTACCAAACGGGAGACCAATTTTTAAGTGCGCATGATTTAAACGTGAAAAAAAAACCAAATCGAATTCAAATCCTGTAGCTATATGAAATGAAATATGTTTTTAAATTAAAAATTAAAAAGAGACAATGCGACCACGTAGAAAATCAGTAGTCATAGCACGAAAACAAATTCGTGCATCATTAAGAGGCCTGGGATTGTCTCTCCGAGGTGACAGCGATGATAGCGCATCAAATAGTTCATCAAATCGTTCGCAGAGTCGTTCGCCGAGTCATTCGCCAGCTGCAAAACGATCACGAATAGATGCCATCAGTAATTCACCAAGTGGTGTGGTTCCAACTCAAGCTCAAAGTCAAGCATCAGAATCAGGTACCATTATTATTTTTAAAAAATAAATTTGCTACTTTTTTCGATAAATTTCTTGAATACAATCGATTGCGTTTGAACAGTGTTGTTGAGTACGAAATAAAAATGGATTTTTTCTTAATTTCCGCTCTCACAGTTAGTTCGACAATGAGAACAAATGAACAAACGAGACAACGTCGCCGAAAAGCAAATCGTACGGGATTTGATCGACCAAAGAGAAGGAGACCAACATCAAATGTGAATCAAGTGCCACTGAATGCACCAAATGCCAATCCACAGCCATCCACATCGACATCGGCAGTGGCAGCCGCATCAACATCAGCAGCTACAACGACAACGACAAAAAAGCCATTGAAACGCCAAAATGAAATGAGAGCAAAACGAGGTGAAACACCAAATAAAGACCTAGAACAAAAAGTTTTTCCAGACAAACAACGTCTGACTGATTTAATTGAACGAGTTGTGGTCAATTCCTCGAGAATGTTCTAATTGGCATCGCTTTATGTGCACTTCATATTGAATCGGTTGGTTGACAATGGTTCCGATGTCGAAATTCGTCGTGAATTTTTGGCCAAATTCAATGCAAACAAATATTTCAGAGCACTGAAAAAACCCCACTCCATACCCCAGCATACATACTGGACAATGAATTTCGTGATTTTCTCATCGAAAACGACATCGAAACCAAATTGGATTTCGAAAATGCCGACCAAGTATTAAAATTTGCGATCGAACAATACGACCGAAATGCGCAATTAATCGTGAAAATGCACATGAGACGATACATGAGGAGATATTTCAAGAATTTGGGTGCAAACACAACACCAAATAAATAAAATCATGGATTATCTATGTGACC